AGAGAGAGAGAGAGAGAGAGAGAGAGAGAGAGAGAGAGAGAGAGAGAGAGACAAAGAGACTAAGTCAGAAAAACAAAAATAGAGAGACAAAGACTGAGAGACAGAAAGATAAACCTTCTCATCACTCTTTCTCTCTCTCTCTCTCTCTCTCTCTCTCTCTCTCTCTCTCTCTCTCTCTCTCTCTCTTTCTCTCTCTCTCTCTCACTCACTTTTACTGTATTCTCTTTTCCATTCTCTCACTTCTACTCCTCTCCACTTCTCACTACTACTTTCTTCTCCAGTCCACTCTATCACACCTTCCTCCGTTTCCTTCTCTCACCCGTTCCGTGCTCTGCGGACACGGCAACTAAACAGTTTCCGACCACAGCAGTTTCCACACTCTCCTTTATTGCCCGCGCCCTGAGTGTCCTCAAAGGTTATGTCGGCAGCAACGGCGAATAACATCCATGTTTTGTCTTGTGTTAGAGTGGGGAGGGGGGAATGAGAGAGAGAGAGAGAGAGAGAGAGAGAGAAGAGAGAGAGAGAGAGAGACAGAGAGAGAGAGAGAGAGAGAGAGCAGATCATGTGGTAAACACGGCAATTTTTGTCTTATTTTAGGAAAAGAAAGAGAGAGGGAGAGAGTGGGGGAGAGAGAGACTAAGATAGAGAGAAAGGGAGAGGGAAAGAAAGAGAGAGAGAGAGAGAGTATGAGAGAGGGGGGAGGGGAGGGGAGAATCACAATTACTATTCTTATTTTCGAAATGAAAACAAAGAAAGATGCAATATTTCGATCTCAAACCTACCAAAGTCCGAAACCAGTGCAAGCTCTAAACAGAACATACTTCTTCCTCAGTAAAACTCTTCAACATAACTTTAAATTTGTTATAACAAAAGCAACACCCATCCTTCCATTCATCATTCTAACTCCCTTCCTGGGGGCTCGCGGGGCCAACGGTTAAGGTGTTGGCCTCTCATTCAAAGGTCCCGGGTTCGAATCCGGGTAGCGACCGAAAAATTTTCTTCTCTAAAATTGTCTCCTTTCACCTCCTTTCCTGCTCTCTAGCAATTTTCTGTTGTCTGCTTTCATTTCCACTTTCTGCCCCAACCCCCTCACCTCCTTTGCCCCCTCCTCTGGGCTCCTGACTCTTTCTGCAGCCTTTCTACTGCTACTCCTTGGCTCCTCCTTACTGCTGTCTTTCTGCCACACCCCTGATCTTCTGGTAGGAAAGATCTACACCTAGCCTTCTCGGACAATGGCAAAAAATCTCGGAGTGCCCGTGTGCAAGTTGCGCACGTTAAAGATCCCCTGGTGGTCTAAAATCGATCAGAGTAGGCTTCAGCCGCCACCCCGGCAAAATTCAAAATTTCCACCAACTGAAAATATTAGGTGTGCCCTGCGTGCTCATATGACCTTATGCAGTTGCGAGCGCCGTAAAACACTTTACAAAAACAAAAAAACAAAAAAGCTCCCTTCCCCACTCCCGCCAACTAAACAGTTTCCGACCACAACAGTTTCCATACTCTCCTTTATTGCCCGCGCCCTGAGTGTCCTCAAAGGTTATATCGGCAGCACCGGCGAACACACGTACATCCATGTTTTGTCTTGTGTTAGAGTGGGGAGGGGAGAGAGAGACAGAGAGAGAGAGAGAGAGACAGAGAGACAGAGAGACAGAGAGACAGAGTGTTTGGTCTTGTTTTAGGGAGAGAAAGAGTGGGGGAGAGAGAGAAAGAGGGAGAGAAGTAGAGAGAGACAAAGAGAGAGGGAAAGAAAGAGAAAAAGAGAAAGGGGGAGAGAGAGAAAGAGAGAAAGAAAGGGAGAGGGAGAGAAAGAGAGAGAGAGAGAGAGAGAGAGAGAGAGAGAGAGAGAGAGAGAGAAAGATAGGGGGGGGGTGAATCACAATTACTATTCTTATTTTCGAATTGAAAACAAAGAAAGATGTAATATTTCGATCTCAAACCTACCCAAGTCCGAATACAGTGCAAGCTCTCAACAGAAAATACTTCTTCCTCAGTAAAACGCTTCAACATAACTTTAAATTTGTTATAACTAAAGCAACACCCATTCTTCCATTCATCATTCAAACTCCCTTCCCACTCCCGCCAACTAAACAGTTTCCGACCACAGCAGTTTCCACACTCTCCTTTATTGCCCGCGCCCTGAGTGTCCTCAAAGGTTATGTCGGCAGCACCGGCGAACACATCCTTGTTTTGTCTTGTGTTAGAGTGGGGAGGGGGATGAGAGAGAGAGAGAGAGAGAGAAGGAGAGAGAGAGAGAGAGAGAGAGAGAGAGAGAGAGAGAGTGTTTAGTCTTGTTTTAGGGAGAGAAAGAGTGGGAGAGAGAGAGAAAGAGAGAGAGAGAGAGAGAGAAGTAGAGAGAGACAAAGAGAGAGGGAAAGAAAGAGAGAGGGGTAGAGAGAGAGAGAGAAAAAGAGAGAGGGGGAGAGAGAGAAAGAGAGAAAGAAAGGGAGAGAGAGAGAGAACGAGAGAGAGAGAGAGAGAGAGAAAGAGAGAAAGAGAGAG